ACCCCTAAAGGCCCTAAAGGGATCCGGTACCAGATCGACCCCCTAAGAGTCGGGATCCCAAGGCAGTTGCCAAGCATCACAGGCAGACGGTCCTGCAGCTCGCGAACTCCAAACACTGAACCGAACATAATATAGGGGTCTTAGTAATTAGAATAGGGTTTTGGGGGGTTCCTTATTATAACTATATAGTATATTATACCCCTAACCCTACTCTAATTATTAAGGCCCTTATATTACCCGAACCTGTTGGTGGCACGAGCCCTCTCTGCATTTAACCAAGGACCGACTTCAACGGATCCAGCTGCAAAATTGCTCCAACATCTTCCTTTCCACTTACTGTAAGGCTTCTAAGGCTTGTGGCAGCCACGAACACCTCAAGACGAGAGCGAATTCACCGAACGTAATTATTGCAAACCTGGGAGCAATTCTCACGACCAAGCCGCAATCAACGAAGTCTGCAACCCGAAAACGTATAGCCCTAAACCCGAAAAACCCGAAGCCCTAAACCCGTACCTGAACCTAAACATTACAGCTCCGAATCTGTCAAAAGCTCCCAAAGCCCCTATAAAACAATAGTTTATGTCTCGACCCCTGAATCAGCAATGCAGGCTCTCCGCAACCCCCACAATCCCCTATGCCCTGAACCCTCCTGCAAGGCTTTCTTCTAAACCCTGAACTGTAAACTTAAAGCCTTAAACCCCAAACCCGCCCAAACCCTCCTGCAAGGCTTTCTTCTTGGCGAGCTCTTTTCGCTTCTGCCGCCGCTGCTCCATCTCGAGCCATTTCAGATCCTTGGTTTTCAGCGAGAGCTTTAAAATGTGTTTCGGGTCTAGGGTGTCGGGTTGAGGGATTTCTAGAGAATCTAGAAGTTCTGGGCCATACATGATAAGGGTTGAACCCTAAATCCTTAACCCTAAACCCTACCCCTTTGGATCTGCCCAGTCTGACATCATCTTGAGCTTTGAAGGGCTTAGGGCTCAAGGCCTCGCGGTAGTTGGAGGTTTGGGGGTTTAAGACTTCCTAGCTCCCCAGGATGTTTAGGGGTTTCGGGTTTAGAAAACCATTCAGAGTAGAGTACTTGGGACCAGAAGCTCTTCGATTTGGGTGCCGTCCGCCCCTCCGGGGTCAAAAATCCTCGGGGCTTTCGGAGGGACCCGAAGCCCGAAACCTCGAGTTGAGGACATTTTTTGGGGCGAAGGGTTTAGGCGGCCCGAAGAGCTGAACTTGAGGTTTGTGGTTGTAGGTTTTAGGGTGTACCAGGACCCTCCAAGTACCCTCAAATAGGGGTATATGGTCCCAAATTAAGGGTATTTAGGGTCTTTAGAGGGTAGATGGAGGGTCTAGGTAGGGTTTAGTGTTTCTGGTTTTAGCTTGGCACGTCCGGTGGTTCCGGCTGTTTGATTTGATGCTCTCACGAAACAATCCTGCAGACATTCGAGGGCTGGGTGCAGGCAGTCATGGGTAGTTCCGTAAGTTAGAAATCCTTCTGGAGCCGATCGCCAAGCACAAGAGACTTGAAACCCAACTTGACAACAAACAGCCGAAGACCGCCCCTTTACCCCTAAACCCCTAAATCCCAAAACCCTAAACCTGCAACCACCAAAAACAAGACAGGAGTTGGAGCTCCTACTTGTCTCGAGCAAGGGGCTTCTACCGAGATGGCATCCTTGTCATGGACGTTCATGGCCGGAAAGAGCATATCCTGCAATCTTTGGGCTTCGAAGTCTCGACTTGCGTGTTTTTGGGGCAGAGGGGTCCTGGGCTTAGGGTCTTAAGTCTGTGGGGTTTAGGCTTGTAGGGTTCAAGCTCTTTGTGCCGGTTTAGGGTTTAGGGTGTGTCGGAAGTCTGATTTCAGAAATCGGAAACACTTTGCAAGTTCATCGTGGTGGCTTCAAACTGAAGTGATCTTCCAGCTTGGGCGTGTTCCGCTCGTGCTTCAAAGCTTGGAAGACTGAACGTAGTAATCCAATTTATCCTCCCTCTACAACGCACACACACACACACGTATATATAATTTTATATATATATATATAGACACACACACACACATATATATATATATATGGGGAGACATGCATATATAACCTGGCAGCCCTGGACGAAATCCCGAAACGC